GGACGGGGCGGCTGGGCCTGGAACAGTCGGAGCAGCCGCTGGCAGAAGGATGACCCAAGACGGGAAGCGGGCTGCTGAGCCTCGCCGGCTCCCGTGCTTGTAACTGCCCCAGCCGGACACCCCCCCCTTGACCTACCCGGTCCGTGTCTCGTTCCGGCTCGGCCTGCCCCCCTCTCCCTTGCCGGTACCCCACAGGGTAGTCCTGATCCCTTTCCCAAGATCCTGGGGCTCAGGTCTTCTCCTTCCCTTGATCCGAGTCACTGTCAGGAGGACCGGTTGTCCTATCCACAGGTCTGCCCTGGGGTTGCCCCCAAGAGCTACCCCCATAATTCACAGGGACTTCTTGCTTCGTCGGGTGACCCATTTGTGTGCTCTTATCTCGCCCTTTAGATTGGGGGATGCGAGTCGCCCGGCGTCTCCCCGTCACCTCGGGGCCACCGCGCAATGTGTCCCCCTCCCCCATCCCAAGTTCTCAGGCCCAGCACCTTGTACGGAATGCCGAGGTCCAAGGAACCGGGAGTCGGTTGTTGCCGTCTGGTCTTGTCCTCTTTAGGATAGGATTCTCCTAGTTTACCAGCTCCCACCTCCAAATCGCTTAGGACACCTTAGAACGGTCCCGTTTGGTCCCTGTTAGTTGGAAAGCATCTGGCGGCTTGGATTTCTGACTCATATGATTGTTGCTGGAGTCTCTGTAAACAAACCGGCACTAGCGCTATCACATTCTCTCCGAGATTCCCACCCCGACTCCCTGCCCTGTGCGTTCTTGTTGAGAGGTTGTTTGGTTGTGGTTTAATGTTGAAAAGACTCAGGTTTTCCTTCTAAATGACTTCTGGTTTTAGTGGAGCTAGGATATCTTAGCTTGCCTGGCTTCTAATCCTTGGATTTGTTCATTTTATTTCCCTGTGTGTGGGGATTATTGTTGAGCTGTCAGATAAAGTTATTCTGGTTTTAAATAGTTCAGAGGAGGTCTAAAAAAATACTAAAATGTACTCATAAATATTTTTATTATGTTTAGTAGAATAGACACCTTTGCCATGTAAACTTTAACTTTTCTCAGTCCTTCAGTGAATCTGCAGACCTATTTTCTCAGGAGTTCAGCCTGGCCTTACTTCAGTGATAAAAGGAGGAAAGGTGAGTGGGAGTTGAAGGCATTTAAATTCCTAAGTTCTAGAGAGACCCTGCCCTAATGCTTAAGTGTTGACCACTTAAGTCGAAATTCCTATCACAATTTCCAAAAGAGTTTGGGTATTGTTCTTGGCTGCATTCCAGCTTTGGTTAAATTACTTTTTCAAGTTTAATTTGCTGTGTTTTGACTTTCTGTCCTAGACTATGGCTGTCTTCAAATGACTTAAGCCTAGAAGTGAATATGTGTCCCCCTTCCCATGTCTCCCTCTTTTTCTTGTTCATTTGTCTTGTGTTTTGCCTTTGTGTGGATCATGTTTTTTAAACTGTAAAAAACTAAGAATTATTTTGCATGAATTCTGTTCAGCCTTTTGTCAAATCAGGTTTCTTCCCCTCAGAGGGCTCTGGGTTGTCATATTTGCCATTTAGAGAATAATCACTTGTAACTAACCAAAAGCTGAGGGATGGTGAATGATGCTGCATTTATTTGGTGTCTCAGACCTGTCTCTGAATTCCAATTTTTCAGAATATAGTGGGGAATTTTTTTTTAAATTTATTTTAGTTGGACACAATACATTTATTTTTATTTATTTTTATGTGGTGCTGTGGATCAAACTCAAGGCCTTGCACATGCAAGGCGAGCGCTCTACTGCTGAGCCATAACCTCAGCCTCGTGGGGAAATTTTTGGTTAAAAAATACAGTAGGGCTGGGGATATAGCTCAGTTGGTATAGTTGTACCTGGTCTGAAGAATACTTAGCAGAATTATCCGGTGCATTCAACAGCATGAGAGAAGAGTGCTAAGGTTGAGGCTCATAAGGTATGACAGAAAAGCTGACTGGCTCTGGAAGGTAGGCTTAGCCAATTCATAGTATTTATGATTCTTTTTTTATTTTCAGTATTGGGGATTGAACCCAGGGATGCTCTGCCACTAAGCTTTATCTCCAGCCCTTCTTATTTTTGTTTTGAGTCAGGTTCTCATTAAGTTGTTGAGGCTGGCCTCAAACATGTGATCCTCTCACCTGAACCCCCTGAGTAAGATTACAGGTGTGCATCACTGCACCTGGCTATTTTTATGATTTGTAGTAGGAAACAGTTAATAGAGTGATACTGGTAAGGTTTTTTCCCCACATGGTGTCCAGATTAGAATGTGCTCATTACCGACTGGATTATAACATTTTTAATGATGGTGTATATGTAAGTTAGTGTGTAAATCTGTCATAGACCTGGGTTTAATTTTATTGAATTAAGATTCATTAGTTGTGTGACCTTAGGTGAGTTATTTAAACTTCTTTCTTAATTTCCACATCTTTAAAAGTGGAATAATACCACTTACCTTTCATAATCATTGTTAGTATTATATGGGAGAACCTATATAAAGCTCTTAGATTATGCCTAGCATATGGTACACACTCAAAAAAATATTTTGTTTTCTCTGCAGGTCATTGAAACAGCTTTGAGGGGTTGGGGTTGTGGCTCAGTGGCAGAGTGCTTACCTAGCACATGTGAGGCACTGGGTTCAATCCCCAACACCACATTAAAAAAATAAATACAATAAAGAAATAAAAAATATTTTTAAAAAAGAAAAGAAACAGCTTTGAATAAGTTATAAATTCATTTATACTTATTTGCATTTTGTTTTAGAACACATTTTTCTGGTTAAATTTTTAAGTTATTTTTTTCCCCTTTGGACTACTGGAGATTGAACCCAGGGCCAGCAACTTTTATATCTGAAAAAATAAGAATAAAAAACTGGTTGGTGGGGTTAGGGATGTGACTCAAGCGGTAGCACACTCGCCTGGCATGTGTGTGGCCCGGGTTCGATCCTCAGCACCACATACAAAGATGTTGTGTCTGCCGATAATTAAAAAATAAATATTAAAAAAAAAACAACTGGTTGGCCATGGGGGCGCACACCTGTAATCCCAAAGACTCAGGAGGCTAAGATAAGAGGATCACAAGTTCGAGGCCAGTCCAGGGAACTTAATAATAAGTGCTAAGAAAGTCCTCTACTGCTGAGCTCCCCATCCCCTCATTCATTTTTAATTGTTCACCTTAGATATGTACTTTGCAAATGCCCACCCAGAGTTGCCTTCTGAACCCCTTTCAGGACAAAATGATTAGGGTTCAAGACCAGAGGATAGAAGGAATACTAGATGTTGGTGTATGTATATTTCCAAATAAATGTATTCTTAAAGTCAACATCAGTCATTTCCTTTCTTCGTTGCTTCCTTCCTCTTGTTCTCAGCACACCTGATCCGAGTTGTCAGTGATGTAAAAGAAAGAGCCCTTCTGCTGTAATGTTGCCCACCTGTATTGCAGCTACCTCTTATGCCTTTCATTTTAGCCATGGAGAAAATACATTTTCTCCAAGATATTAACCTTATCAATGGATTATAAAAGATTATTAAAGATCTCTTTATTTAGACAATGAATCGGTACTAAGAGGTTATGAATACAGAGTTGTTTTTTATTTTACAACTGGACTTTTTTTTTTTTTTTTTGATACTGGGGCTTGAGCCCAGGGACACTTAACCTCTGAGCCACATCCTACCCTTTTTATTTTGATACAAGGTCTTGCTAAGTTGCTTAAGGCCTCATTAAATTGCTGAGGGTGGCTTTGAACTTCTGATCCTCCTGCCTTGGCTTCCTGAGTCACTGGGATTACAGGCATGTGCCACCCCCTCTACCCTCAGCTTGGACCATTTTAGTAATAAAACAGCACTGTAAAGAATTTAAACCTCTCAGCAAAAGCGAAGTGCTAAGCAACTCAGTGAGACTTTGTCTCTAAATAAAATACAAAATGGGGCTGGGGATGTGGCTCAATGGTCAAGTGTCCCTGAGTTTGATCCCCAGTACCAAAAAAAAAAAAAGAAAAGAAACCTCCTTTTGTGGGCTTTCACATATTTTTGGAAGAGCCAAGGTTACATGAAATTGCAATAAACTGATGACATTGCACTGAAGGCAACTTTATTGGTTCATACCAGTTGTCATTTCAGGGTTTATCAACTTTCATTATCACCATTGAGCTTCTGAATTGTCTATTCTAAGGTAAAGACTCTTGGGGGTATTGATGAGGTGGGCAGTTATATTTTTTTGAGATCTGGAGATTTCTGTTGTATGGAAAGAAAGGTCAGAGGAGAAAAGGAAATAGGTTGATAGAGGAATAACTGTTCTTTAATGCCACATGTGCTAATTAAGAATCCCACCCGCCAACCTTCAGAAGGAATTCATATTTTATGGTCCAGGTAACATCTGTGTATACAATATTCTTATCCAGGGAATCATAGCTATAAAATTATTATCTTTCTGTAAATACTTTTATATTTTATTTATTACATAAGAATTATGAAATCTTATTAGAAAGTATTTCCTAGTATTACTGGGGTAGGAGATTAGGTATGCCTGTGACTTCTTCATTCCTACCACCAATCTGATAGAGCATTTTGTAATACAGTCTATTAAAAAATGTGTAAGAAATCAGTCTCAGTGCCATTGTCCTTAGTGTTACTAAAATTGCCCTAAAGTTAGAAGCTTCTCTTCAGAAAGAGCTAAAAGAAACCAGCCTTTTTGTTGCCACTTTAAAACAATCCTGGCATTTCAAAAGCAAACAGACTCTAATATGGTACATTTTATAGAGGTTACTCTGTTGTGGAAGTCAGATATTCAGTTCTATGCCCTAAGTCCTGGATCCTATCATGTGAATTATAGGCTTTTAAAGTCATGAAGTGTCTAGTTACACAGTTTTCAGGTTTATTACTGGATTGTTTGTACTGTAGAAATGTTACTCTAAACATGTATAGGAAATGTCCAGATTATAAAAGAGTAGGAAGTATCCTAACACAGGTTTCTTATTGTGTAACACTGGTGTTAGAGTTATTTTTAAATTTATGTTAATTTGGCGGGGGCTGGAGATATAGCTCGGTTGGTAGAGTTTGTGCCTCACATGCACAAGGCTCTGGGTTCAATCCCCAGCACCATCAAAAATAATAATAATAA